ACTTGTTGATTAAATGCTTTAATATCTTAGGTTTAAGCTCCTAAAAATTAGACACTATGCCCATTAAACCCACATTGTTCCAAGCTTGCTTAAATAAGGGACAGTAGAAAGGGACCTAAGGGCATCTCCCTCTGCCCTCAATTACTCCAGAAATAACTTGTATAGATCAGATAGAAATGATGTAGAAGAGGACCAGAAAAATATATGCTCCCAGCCTGTCACTCCCTTCTCCCTTGCTCATGGCAGACATCACTAATTGATGCCAGCATCCTCCTGCTGAGCAGCAGAATCCTCAATATAACACTCTCGTTAGTCATTAGCAATTACTAGAATCTATTGGAAACTTCTGGAAACCTCAATCTTAATCTCTGGCTCAATTTAATCATCTACTCAATATCCCTCACTGTACCCATTTTTCTTCCTGAAGACTCCCAGTGACTGAAGTACTCCCTTTCTTTCCAGTCTGTTAGGCCAATCCTTTATTAACTTCCATCCCTCTCCATCCTAGACTTTTGCAAACACAGGCAGTATGTATAATGGTTAGAGTGTGGCCTTCAGACCCATACCGCCTGGGTTAAAATCCCAGCCCTACCATAAACTGTTGGGCCTCCATTTCCTGGGGATGTAATAATAGTAATCTTCTCCATTGTTGTTATAGGGGTAAGTGAGCTAATGCACACACAGTACTCCTGACCAAAAAACAAACAAAAACCTTGCCAAAATAATGAAACAACAACAACAATGAATGACTTGACCATGCAGGTTAGAGCTTCTGGACTCTGCTTGGCCCATCCCTTTGCACGAGTCTGGTTGTTTCTCTCACTGATTTCTCCACTAGCTATTCTAAATCTTCATCACTCTTCAGCTCCTCAAGATGCTGACCTTTTCACCCTTTCTTGACAGTCCCTACAAGGACTCCCTAATCATAACTAAAAATATATTTATACTAGAGGCTCAATGCACAAAATTTGTGCAAGAGTAGGCCTTTGCAGCCACAGCGGCTGCCTTGATCCCTCCCTTGTAGCTGCTGGTGGCTGCCTCGATCCTGAGGCAGCAGCCCTGGATTCGTCCCTGAAGGACATCCGGTCTAATTAGCATATTACGCTTTTATTATTATAGGTTCTTTCATTCTTCTCTTCAAACTCATAGGAGGAGCTCTTCTATTTTCTGTCTTAGACTAATTATTTCTGTATGTTCTAGATAACTTCACCTCTTATCCATTTGGGGACCTGATTTCATCAATTATCTCTTTTCTCCATTCATTTCAGGCCTCAAACATGCTCAAATCTCTCCAATCTTAACAAAACAAATTAACACCCCTCTGAACTCTGAATCCCCCTCTGTTGACCCACTTTCTTTCATCTATAGCTAATTAAAAAATATATTTTTATTGATTTCAGAGAGGAAGGGAGAGGGAAAGAGAGATAGAAACATCAATAATGAGAGAGAATCATTGATTGGTTGCCTCCTGCATGCCCTCCACTGGGGATCAAGCCTGAAATTGGGGCATGTGCCCTGACCGGGAATCGAACTGTGACCTCTTGGTTCATAGGTGGATGCTCAACCACTGAGCCATGCTGGCTGGGCATACAGCTAATTTTTTTGACATTGCCAAATGTCCCCTGCAGCATACCAGATCTTGGTTGAGAACCACTGATATAAGATACAGTAATACAAAATAGAGCACTGAGTATATAATTAGAGGCCCAGTGCACGAAATTTGTGCATGGTGTGTATGTGTGTGTGTGTGTGTGTCCCTCAGCCCAGCCTGCACCCTCTCCAATCTGGGATCCCTCTCACAATCCAGGACTGCTGGCTCCCAACTGCTCGCCTGCCTGCCTGCCTGATCGCCCCCTAACCACACCCCTGCCAGCCTTATCGACACCTAACTGCTCCCATGCCGGCCCGATTGTCCCTAACGGCCCTGCCGGCCTGGTTGCCCCTAACTACCCTTCCCTGATGGCCTGGTCACCCCTAACTGCCTTCCCCTGTAGGCCTGGTCACCCCCAACTGCCCTCCCCTGATGGCCTGGTCACCCCTAACTTCCCTCCCTTGCCAGCTTGGTTGCCCCTAACTGCCTTCTCCTGAAGGCCTAGTTGCCCCCAATTGCCTTCCCCTGCTGGCCTGGTCACCCCTAACTGCCCTCCCTTGCCAGCCTGGTTGCCCCTAACTGCCTTCTCCTGAAGGCCTAGTTGCCCCCAATTGCCCTCCCCTGCTGGCCTGGTCACCCCTAAGTGCCCTCCCTTGCTGGCCTGGTCACCCACAACTGCCTTCCCCTGCCAGCCATCTTGTGGTGGTCATCTTGTGTCCACATGGGGATGGCCATCTTTGACAACATGGGGGTGGCCATCTTGTGTTGGTGTGATGGTCAATTTGCATCTTACCTCTTTATTAGATAGGATGCTATGAAGTTCTAAAAAGAGAAGCCCATAGAGGCCTCCAGTCCCTTTTATCCGCTCACTGCATTTTTCCTGCCAAACCCTCTTCCAAACACCAATTCCTTGGCAGATAGCAAGCACAGCCTGTCTGCATTCCACTCTCCCCTCCCTCCCTTTTCAGCTCACTGCAGTCTGACCCCAGTCCTCCGTTTTCTGAAACCACTCTGCAATGTCTTTCTTCTTAATTGCCAAACCCCATTGACATTTCCTGACTCCTATCACTTGAATTCTCCACAGCAATTTTACTCTATTGACCATGACTTCTGCCTTGAAACTCTTGCTTTGGCTTCCAAAACCTTTTTTGGTTGTCCTCCAAAAAGAAGAGTGGATCTTCGTTATCTCCTTTGCTAGCATCCTTTTCCTTTAAACCTTAGCACTCCTTAAGCAGAGTCCCCTCTTCCTGGCACTCTTTCCCTAGTGTTTTCTTCAGTGCAAAGACTTGAACACTCCCTGGCATGGTCCCTCCTGAGTCCTGCTCTGGAGCCCAGGCCTGACCCTGACTCCAGGAGGTATTGCCTGTAGTCACCTAGGTACTTCCTTTTGCAACTGAAATGCAACACACATTCAGTAAGTCTATTCTCATCTTTCAGCAGTTCTTGCTCTTGTCTAACTGGCTATGAGCTCCTTGGCGATATTGATCCTTTCTATTTTCTCTTTCAGTGATCTGAATACAGGACAGTGCCTAGCACTCAGTAACTGGTGCTTGATAACTGCTTTTTGGATTAAGGAATGAATGTACTTGTCCTTTTTCCCTAGCATTGGCAGTGGATTTACCTGCTCAGGTCTAAATTAGAATGTTTGCTATCCCCAAATTTCCACTCTTCAAGTCCTCTTCACAGTTAAAGACATCAGTATTTACTCAACTGCTATCCCTTATATTCCTCACCCCATCCCTCATCTTCCATATCTAAGCCATGAGCAGGTTCTGTTAGCCAAGTCCTAAATTTCACTATTGGTCACCATCTCTAGCACCATTATTTCTTACTTATCCAACTGCCACCACCTCCTAACCAGCTTTTCTGCTGCTGCTATTGTCCTTTCTCATCTCAGAAGGATATCTCCAAAACATTCATCAGGTTACCTTGCTCCCTTCCCTAAAATGCTCCTTGGCTTCATTGCATCTGGAATCTAATCCACTATAGTCTTTCCCAAGGCCCTTCATAAATGAGCACTTTCCAACCTCTCCCACCCCATCTCTAAAGCCAAACCTGATTCTCAGCCCAACTCCCCTATCTGCTGTAGCAAGAGCCCTTTTTGCTGTTCCTCAGACGCACCCAGCCTCTTATTTTGGTTCACATCTTGTACACCAGCTGTTCCCTCTGTCTGGAATGCACTCCTCCCAGACTCCCCTGGCCAGCTTCTTCCCAACCTTCACATTTCTGCTCCAAAGCCACCTCCTTAGAAAGTCATCCTATGAAAATAGCTCCCCACAGTCATTCTCTAACCCCCATCCTGCTTTATTTCCCTTAGAGCACTCATTATGGTTTGACTTTATGCTTGTTAACTTAAACATTAACTTTCTGTAAGATATCATATAAGCTTCATTAAGACAGGGATTTTTTCTTTCCTGTCTACTATTACACCTCCATGGTATAGAAAAGAAATTGGCCCACAGTAAATACTCAGCAATGTAGGGATAATGCAATCTCTATGTCCGAAGGCATATCTGCACGGATTGGCTAAGGTTATTGGCTCTGTGAGGTGCTGTTTCACTGGGTGAAGATAACTTTCTTAGATGGGAACTGGCACCAACCTCTAAGACCCACACACATGTTAGCTACTGACAAGGACTCCCTTCATAATCAAATTCAGGCTCCTGTGAGCCCTCTTCTTGACTAGGACTTGTCTTTGGCCGAGCCCTTAGCCTGCGGAGCCAATTTAGCAAGTTTCCTGTTAACGCAATTTACTGAGTATCCTCCATCCTTGAATATATAATCACATCTCTCATCCCTCCACCATTGATATCAAATCAAATTCCTCTTAGTAATTTTCAATCCAATGACTCCCTCTCCTTCTCCTTGCCTGCTGGCTATAAATTCTGGCTGTCTTTGCTCTCTCGCGCAATAGCCTTGAATAAAATCTTCCTTCTCATTTTTAACAAGTGTCTGGTACAATTTCTCTTTAACATTAGAGACCAAATAGTTACCCACTGAGCTTGTATACAGCTATTTAATGAATTTTCACTGGTCCCCTTCAAACCTTCTTATGTTCTTTGCAGTGAGAAGGGTCAAAAAGAGGCTTTTCTTGTCTGTGTGACTGAAGAATATGGTTTCTCTAGCATATAGGAGAAAGTCAGGAAGAATAAAGGCTACATGCTTCTTTTTATCACCTTTATAGTGGCTATTACTTATTTATTTTGTCACATTTATTTTCTACTGTTCTTGTGGTGACATTTTAATGAATAATACAACAACCATGTTCAATTCAAAATGACACCCCAAATCTCCTAAACAAAAGCATGTCAGTGTATAAAAAATAGTTCCCCATCTGCCACGAAACCCATGCAATTCACAGGCAGTCCCCTCCTGACTCGGCAGCCAACTGGCGATGATATGGTCATACCTGCCACATCGAACTCGATTTCCAGGGTGACCTTGCTCGTGATGGAGGAGTCTCGGAGGAGCTGATTGGCTTCCTCGAAGGTGCTATCTTCGGTTGGAATTCCATTAATGGCCATCACTCTGTCTCCAATCTGTAGGACCCCACATCTGAATGTAGAACCACATGTTAGAGGTTGCATAGAGGGTAAATTATCATCAGTTGAAGTTGCCACATCTGCTTTGTTTGACCCTTGCAAAATGGCATAACCATGTGGTCTTGTTTATTCAATGCTGTGGGAATCCTATTAGTTAGGTCAACTGCAATGTCTTGCACTTTTGCATCTCATGGCTACCAATGTGAGCAAGGGAATCTTGAAGTATTCCAGCAAAGTAATTAATAATTCAGCACCATGGTATTTTTCTAATCTGATCTGAACCAATATATAGTAATGATGAATGTACATCTCTCCATGGCAGAGAAGCTATTAAAGTTTGAACTTAGAGATTTTTTTAATAGATTTTTTTTTCCTTTTTAATTAATATACCCTTAGTCCCTGATGGACGAAACCCTGCTAGATAAAGGCATCCATGCTCATAATTCTTCTCAAAACTGATCAAGAACATAAAATTTTATTGTCAGAACAGAGAGTTCATTATATCTTACATTTCCTGCATTGAGCGCTGTTCCATAATTTATTAGTTGTCCAAAAAGAGCCGGCGCACAAACGCACAGCAGGGAAAGATGCTGTGAAAGAAAGCGTCTCACCTCTCTGCAGGGCTGTCAGCCTCAATGTAGGAAATCAGAGGCGGAGAAGAGAGTGTCTCCGTGGCAAACACACTGCCCTGCAGCTGGATCCCAAATCCTGTGACAGGGTCTGCCGTCAGCACCACCTCTGTGGTTTCTGTGTGAACGACCTGGCCAGCCAAGCCCACTGTGCTGGAGGCTAAAGACACTAGAGGAGCAACATGAACAAGAATGATGTCAGGTTGAAGCAAGCACCAGAAAACCAGCATTTCTAAAACAGATCATGGCTCTGAAGAGCAGCTCACTGGCTAAGGTGGGAGGTCATATTTTGGCGTTCTGGTAACAAGTTTAGCCAGAGCTGAACAAGATGCGTAACTCTCCCAGAACTAGTCAGTTCTCAGTCACAATACGCAATGTAAGGTGTTGCCTCCTTCCCTTACATACCTGTCTGTTAGGGGCAATTGTGGGAGTTGCAGGAAGAAGACACCACAGGGTCAGGGTACCTGGATTCTGGTCCTGGTTCTACTACTAAGAAACCATTAACCTCTTTCCTATCTAGAAGAAGGAGGGTTGGGCTAACTCGTCTAATGGTTTTTCGACTTCAGCTTTAAGATTTACAGACAATCTGACCTCCAGCTTTGAAGAAATGCTCTGAGTCTAGCTCCCAGAGTGGTAAGGAAGTGCTGGTCATCAACCTCACTCTAGCATCAGGTTGGCATGATGGAGTCATTTAAACGCTACATTCCTCCTCCTCTCAAACTTGGTCTCTTCAGTCCTTATTTCTTCCCAATGGGTCTCCAACATACTCTGTCATCTCTTATTTCATTTGTTCCTCTGATAGTCTTCTCAGCTCCCCGGCACACATCTCTGACTTGTTCCCATCCCCACCCATGTCACGACTGACTGCTGCACTCCTGGACGCCTTCCTCTCAGGCGTGACCTGTGCCTCCTTTGCTCCCTGAGAGCAAGAGCTCTGTCTTTAGGGTCACCCTCTGCCGCACTGTCACTTCCTCCCAATGGAGGCTTCTGGCCCTTTAATGGAAACCTGATGAGAACACGTACCTCAAAACCTTCTCCAACCAGAAGCTGATTCTTTCACTCTCCCTGCACGGGGCAAGGAGAGAAGGGTTTCTAATACTGCTTGCTTTCCATGCAGTGATCTTTTATTTGTTTTGGTTTTTTACCTCATACCACTCCTATTTAGAGCTCCATATGCTGTACTAATTTCTGCTCTGTCTCATATTCAAACCCATAGTTTTCTGTTTACAAGATCCCACCCCTCTTCCTCACTGACTTCAGGACTTGGCTCATCGTCTATTCTCCTCTGACCTACAGCTTTTCGTTGTCCTAAGCCCTCTGACATGATGGGAATAATCTAATGTGCTGGGTTTGTGGTTCTGCAGCTCTCCTATTGCTAGCATTCCACCCTGTCAGCTCTCTGCCACAAAGCCCTAGGCGGACCCCATCCTCCTTTGAAATGGGTAGAGCTCCAAGATCTCAATCCTCCTTGGTGATCACATGTCCTTATTGGCCATCTGTCCCAGCCTCTACGATCTAATTTTCTGCTCTTATGACTTCTGCTCCCATTGCCTCTCACTTGTCTCCTAGTATTTTTAGCAACAGATCACATCCCCCCACCTCTTCAAATGAAGGCAGATGGTAAGGGATGCCTCTAAATTCCAGATGAAAACAGAACTACTGCAGTTGATGTTGGAATGAGACCCCAAGCCTTCGTCCTCCCTCATAGGGGAATCTGTGAATGCAGTTTAAAGACCATCATCTTTATCCATTGCCTTTTACTAGCATCCTTTCCCTCCACACTCCACCTGGACCTCTGGTGACCAATTTAATGATGCATTTGCTGGTAAGAGATTCTGAAACCTCACGTGATTGTCTATACGCTAACACTCTGTCCTCTTTGGTAAGGCCCAGTTAACTCCACCGCTGTTACTAAGTTGCTTAGGGGTGTTGAGAAAGTCATGACAAATTCACATTATTCTCTACGGGGCCCTGGAATCTTTTGCTGCATACTATTTTGGCACCTTATTAGATTTCTTACAGGATCTGTCTCAAACATTTCTACCCTTAGTAAGGTCAAACTTGACTCTTTACTTCATTTCTTACAAGACTGAAAATATGCCACCATTTAACAAGAGTTCCTTAAACAACATTGTTTCGATCTTAATTTCTCTATATCAGTGATTTTCAACCCTTTTCATCTCATGGCATTAATGACTAAAATTCTACTGCACACCAAAAAATGTATTACATTTTTGGCCGGCCTGGCAAAAGAATATATAGGTATAATTTTTATTCATTCACACCAGACGGCTATTGTTGTGTTGGCTGTTGTCATTTTTTAAATTGACAACCTAAGGGAAAAGAGGTCAGAGCCCCTGACTAAATAGTCAGGTATTGCATGTTCTAAAAACTCTTGCAGCACACCAGTGTGCCACGGCACACCGACTGAAAATCGCTGTTCTGTATCACCATCTGTTCTCTCTTTTCCCCATTTTTTCCTGCCTCAGGGGGATGTATCCTTTTTCCATCTCCAGGCTAACTATTAAGTATTTTTGATACTATCCTTTTCTGCTCCTGTGATTTTGTGCCATTAAATCTTTCTTGACACTTTTCCAACTTACTTACTCACTCCCCTAGCTTTCTGACCTCTCTCTGATTTGTACTGCTTCTAAATGGCTTAAACTGTGGCATCTTCCTTTACCCTTTACTGAAACTACTCTCACTGCTGCTTCCTGATTGCTAAAATCTATGGCCTCAACTGCTCTAGCCACTAAGTAGCCACTGGCTTTGGGAACCATCACTTTCTTTCTCAAATTGCCCTCTGGGTTTTGATGAAGCTTGGTTCTTAGTTTCTTACTTTTTAGCACCCACCATTCTTTTGCTTTATCTGCATGTCAAGCAAGCTAATGCCCATGGTTCGGTCCTAAGCCTTTTTTTTTTTTATCTCATTCTTTTCCTCATTCACTTCCAGTAAAATATGATCCAGTAAAATACATACCTTCTCAAGTCTACCTCTCTAGTGATGAATTTCAGGACTTGATAGATGCCAACTACAACGATGTCTCATTGACTCCTCAAACTCAACATTTTCAAAATTGAGTTAATCACCTATGGGACCATAATTACAGTCCTTTGGGCTTGAAATCTCAAAGTAGCCTTTGACCCACAACTCCCCATTGTCTCAAACTCAATCAATTTTGTTTAAATCCCCCTTTCCATTCTTACGGTCAATACCTTAATTCAGGCTTTCATTACGTTTACTTCAATTAATCTAATATACATATTTCTGGGTTCTTTCATGCCAGTGCTTTCAATATATTGTTGCCAGATTAACATTCTCTTCAGAATGAGGCCCCAATTTATCCACTCCTCTGGAGTAGAGCCTCATCACTTGACCCTCAGTTCTTTGCATGTCTGGAACCCTAGTGCCTGTACCATTCAGTGAATGCTACGTAAGTGAGGAATGAGTTATATTTTGTGATATCATCTGCATTTTTTGTTTTGAAACCAACATTTCATGTAGATTCTGCTAAGTTAAGGAACTAGGAAGTTGTTCTTTGGGACGCAAATTTTTCCATGATGTGGATCATTCCAGCACTGCAGCTGACATGGCAGAGGATGGTGGCGGGTCAATGTCTGGAAGGACTAAGGGAACTGTACTTCTTCTAAAGAAGCACGATCATTGTTCTGTCTCAGCAGGATGAAGCCAGTGAGATTTCTGCAGCCTGCAGTGGGGAGTGAAGGGAGCCTCCCACCCTAAGCTTTTTACAGGTGGCCGCCTACAGTTCCAAAGTCTCATGGACTATCAATTATTTTCGTTTTTAAATTAAATTTATTGACATGGATTAATAAAATTTTATGTTTCCGGTGTGCAATTCTATAATACATCACCTGTATATTGTATTGTGTGTTCAGCAGTCCAAGTCAATTCTCCTTCCATCACTATTTATTCCCCTTTATCCTCTTCTACTTCTTCCCAAACCCTCCTCTCCCTCCAGGAATCAGTAATACGTTGGTTGTCTGCTTCCTTGAGGTTTTTGTTTTGTTTTGTTTGTTTTTGCTTAATCCCTTCACCTTTTCACCAGCCCCCCAAACGCCCCTACTCTCTGGCAGCCGTCAGTCTTAACTTAGATTCTGCTTCTGTATCTATGAGTTTGTATCTATTTTGTTTGTTTTGTTTCTATTTTCCTTGTCAGTTTATTTTGCTCATTAGGCTATCACATATTTTCTAGGATGCTTCTGTGAATGTGAGCTGTACTTTGATTGCTCTCCAGATCATACATATATTTTTTTTTAATGCTGGCACAAACCAGTAGAAGATGCCATTTCCTGTCTGTAAGCGTCTGGAAAGTTGCATTTCTTTCCAGCTAGTGAGCAGGAACAGAATATTAGAACATCACTTATTTGGCAGATTACTTCCAGTTCTTGGTGAAGCTTTTTTTTTTTTTTGCATGTCAACAAAAATACTTTCTGTGAATCTTTATACATATATTTCATCTGAAATCTCAATTTGGTGCAGATTTTTAGACTACTTAATTAGAGTTAGAAACTATGTTTGGACTTCTAAGTCAGAGATGCCCTGAGGACACAGGCCTGACAGAAGGTGTGCAAGTTTCTGAGGGTTGTGCTCTGAGGCATGTCAGGATATCTACTCCAAAGGAAAGAACAAGTTGCTGCCACTTTCATCCCTTCTGCACAGGAAGAGTCAAAATACTCGATGGGCGTCTTTAGATATTAGATATCAGTTTCCATGTGCCACTAGGACCCATTAACCAGGTGATCCAAAAAGTTGGATCAGTTGGAATGAGCAGCTAAGATGACGTTACAGCTGCTCCCCACAGTGATGCATGTGGCTACTCCAGGCCGGTGCTTTCTGAGGGAAGCTTACAGCCATAGCAATGAGACTCTGACACCAGACTAAACCAGAAGTGATGGCCTGCAATTTCAGAAAGAGAGGAGAACGGAAATGCCAGTGTACAGCTACAGAGAAAACGGATCATTTGAATCCTGTGGCTTCTGGGGAGCAGGACAGAAAGGGACACTGTGTCCCATTCTAAGCCTCGTATTACAAGTTCACTTTTAACTATAAGCCTATATATTGTGATAAAAGTAAGAAGGTGAACATTAAAAAAAGAACTTTTAAGTCAGTTGATTACCATCACCATTAATTAAGAATCAAAAAGAAATGGTCGGTTTAATAACAATGGGAGAGATTAGGGGAGCTGTAGCAAAGACCCTCTCCAAGGAGAAGCTTGCTATGTTTTTTGGATCAGTTAGAGAAGATGAAAATTTCATTCTGTAGAGGGTTTTGAACACAGAAATAAGCACTAATTCACTGTGGGTAGCATTAAATTTATAAGCTCTATCTAGAGGCAAGTTGAGGTGATAGAAATCATTAGGAACTTTAATTTAGGATTAAAATGTATTAAACATGGGTTTCATAATTATATAAAGTTATAATTTATCTAATAAAAACAGGCTTACATTAGAGCTAGGATTTTACAATTCACTCTGAAAGTCCTTTGACACATTGGGATCTATTCTTTGAAACGGTCAAATTTCATTTGAAATTGCAGGTGCTGATTACTCACAGGCATTAACGTCTTGAAAATGATTACCAGACATGATAAACATCAACTGCAGACTCAAGGATGATGAGCCAGAAAGAAAAACAACCAATATTCCTTGGAAGAGAAAACGATGAACTTGATTACCCCGCTTCATTAATGTGGTCAAGCAGCAGAGGAAAATGAAGGGGATTTAATCCTGAGTTCACAAAGTTGTAGAATGAATTCTCTCTCCAGTAGCAGATGCCCCTGCAAGGCACTGGCCCTGGCCTGAGAGGTGCCCATTTCTGCCCGCAGGTGAAGGCGGACATGACTACACTGCCGCCATGCTGTGTGTGAATACCAGTTACTGGTGTGTGCCAGCATTCACACCTGCATGTCCTGTCCCTTTCACACCTGGAGGGTTCTGTTCACAGCCCTTCAGGTTTGCAGGGAATGGCCCTGTGTTTTGGTCAATTCTGGTCTTTCCGAGTGTAAGTAAGGGAGGGGAACCAAAGGCAGTTTTCTAACTCCCAAAGTTTAAAAATCAGCACCATGTTTCCTTCATTTAGAAGGCTGAGAGGTTTACTGTTAGATATGAAGAGCATTTAAAAAGTACAGAGAGCAAAGGACCTCACAGATTTATTAGTAACGCGGTGTTTGTCATTCTTTGACCCTGTAATTTAAGACATCTCACTGAAGTGTTCCACATTTAGGGTCGACCCACTGTGGACACAACACATTGTGTATCACATGGTCCATTCGGGAGCACAGCGGGGTGGCCAGCAGCCCCCTCCTCCACGCAGGGCTGGTGGGGCAGATTTTATGCTGTCAACTGCCAGCGCTCTGTGCTCCGTCACTTATAAATGCTTACCGTTAGCTGCCTTGGCCTTCCATTTTTTTTTCAGGGGTCGGTAGAAGGGATAAAAGTTGTTAGTCTTTTTCATTCTCTTCCTCTCAGTTATCTGCAATGCTGCCCTCCCTGGTAGTAAGTGCCAATGACAAAAGAGGCAAAGACCGTTCTGGGCATGTGCTCTGACGTGTACTCTCTGTTATATCTCAGGCTGACTGGGCACAGGCAGTCTCCCCAGGGGCTCTGGGTGCAGGAGCAGGAGGCAGACAGCAGGGGAACTGGCTCAGTCATGCCTCTGTCAGGGGGTGTGGGGGTGACGGGGTCCTGGAAGGAGCCCTGGCCTCTGCAGTAGAAAAAGGGCAGCCCGGGTTGTGGGGAAAAGGTCAGTAACATTCCAGAAGCGGTGAGGAGAGGTTCCCTCTGTGACACCCTCCGGGCTTTGTGACACTCCTCACAGCCGAGGCAGGGGTTGCTCACCACTGTCCCTGTGGAACTACCAGCACTTTCCTGTTTCAATGCTTGTAACATATGGTCACGGGTTTTCTGTATTCTTCCCTCTAGGCAACTGTACAGAACGTTTTCATATTTATGTGAGATTTTCCACTCTTCCGGCCATGTCCTTCCTTCGTCCTGGAAACATATGTGAGAATTCTTTCTGGTTTCCAGGTTCTGGCCTCAAATGCTCACCAACATAGCAAAGAGGCTTTTGATTGTATTTGGGACTTTGCCAGGACTCACCATCCATACAAATGGCATGGTTGCTATAGAAACATAAGAATGAGAAAGGGGGCAGCCAGTGGTGGCACGGAATAAACACATAAATAAAGTGGTGGAAATAAACCAAGGTAGAGTGAGAGTGGCAATAAAACTTTTATTATCAGTTATTTGGGGAAACCTTTCTCTCTGATGTGACCATTCCAAGCTTAACAACAACAACAATAAAAGAATGGAACCTAATCTTGAGGATTTTTATGTGTGATTTTGGAAAACTAATTTTTTAAGTCCCTTTGAAGTTGGAATAAAAGTTCATAGTTTGTGAATCTTATTGTTGGATTAAAATATAACATATATGATCTCCTGAGACAAACATTCTGGTCTATGTATGGTCAGTGATGCTCTAGTAGCGAATGTCTACAGCAAACACAAATAGCCAGAAATTTCTTCAACCAGCTTTGTGTTTATATTTCCACTATGTTGGAGAATAATGTGCTGATTCAAGAGAGAATTTATGAGCTGGCCATGGATGTCAGTGACAGTGTGGCCTCAGCTTTGTTTCCTACCACAAAATTCAAGATGTGCAAATATCAAACCCATTATCATTCGTTTGTAGTCCCTAATGTGTTTAGTCAACATAGTCAGTCTTACCTAACACAAGCAAATGTTTAGCCATTGAAGCACAAGTACAAACATTAATGAATTCGTTTTAATTGCTCTTCCCTGTTGAGGGATGTTAGCCTGTTTCTGTCAGTGAGGAGTGCTGCACATGAAGCTATTCTATGTAAAAATATTCATAAGCAAATGCCCACCACAAGCCCTGAAGGCACTGCATGGAAGACTCAAGATCTATGTGTTATGCCAAAGTGTAACCACTGTGAAAAATGCAGAAATTTGAGAGGAATGTTAACAGAGTTTTGCACAGGCCCATTCAGACTCAGGCAGAAGAGCAGCTAACACTTAATCTGTTCAAAAGAGCTAATTATATGACCTGAGAGACCGTTTCCTGGGCTGGGTGGTGGTCAGTCTCCTACACTGATGGTGGCATGGGTGGGACTGGCAGCACATCCACTTGCACAGATGAATCTCTGGCAAATAAGCTGAAGAGCCAACAGGCTCAACCACCCCTTCTCACAAGAACATTCTCTCTTCACTACCAGCTTTGAGGTATCTGGGTTTGGCTTTATTTAGGTAACTTAAGGGTGTTCTTTATTTTATTCTCATGGTAATCCCAGGAAGAGGCCCTATCTCCTTTGAGCTTCTTTACAGGAATCACAACCATGGCCAAAAGGGACACATAGGATACAACCCATGCACGCTCTAGACTACAATTAGATCTTGCTGGAAAGATAGGTGTTTTCTTCCTCTAAAACATAATGTGATGATGATGAGAAATTATGATCTTCCCCAGCAAGAAAAATTAGGAGCTATTTGAATTTCTTCCCTGTTCACACAATCATTACCCCTTTTTCTCTTTACCAGTATGTGTATAACCAGTCATCCAAAAGCAAGTGGCCAAGCACATTTTCCTAGTCTTGCTTGGTCTATACTAAGCGTGGCTGTCCCAGAGGGTCATATTCCCAAGAATCCTATTTGAAATTCCTAGACTTTAAGATGCTTGTTGTAAAGATGAACATCCCTCTCATCTTCTTAAGGCTGAAGCGGGCAACAGAAATATATGTTCAAGCCGTGATTCTCAATGGGGTGGGTCCCTGGGGAAAGTATTGGAATCTTGGGGAATGAGATATTAATAGCATTAAACAAAAGTGTGAGGTTCTTATATTTACCAAAAAGGAGACATAGTTTTCAAAAAACTGCTTTAGAGTGAATAAGAAACTAAGAACAAAGGTCATGCTCGAAGCTACCCTGAACACAGGGAAGGAGTTTTAAAGGAAAAAAATCACATCTTAAGTCATTTTGTTAGATCAAAGGAGCAAGAAAAAGTTTCACATAAAAAAGTTGTAGGCAAGGGTGGTATGAACTAATTCCACTATCCTAGAGATAACGGATATCACTTTAATGGTCTTTGGCACCGAGCTGGACCTGCTTGGCATCTGCCTGATGAGCAGGCTCTGTAAACTCTTCCCCCAGACCTCTGTGGACCAAAGACTCTAACCTGCCCACACGCTTTCTCCAGGCCACATGGCACTGGCTACCATTCCACTTACGTGAGCTTTTGAAGTCTTTCTTTTTCAGTCTCCTCCTCATCATGGTTCCACGTGGACTAGTGGAGTAGAGGCTGCGAGGCAAAGTCCCCATGTTCAGGGAACTCAGGCTGTATGCACTCATGGAGGTAGGAGAGAAGGATGAAGACACCAGAGCTGCTGTAAGAGAATGAAGACTTGGCACAGAGCATTCCCAGGTGGGGTGTGAGCCTGCCACACGTGCCAACCAGCGACAACCCGGGAAGACACACAGGACGCACAGCGGTAGCGAGTAAGTGCCCCAACTAGACAGAGACAGGGCTCAGGAGCCGGGGACGCAGCGCTTTAGGTTCTGCGTTACGAGAGCCCATGGACACCTGAGGGGCAGATGGTCCCCATACACATAGTGGAACACAGAGAAGCTCTATGAGTTTTTCTTTAGACACACTAAAATACCAAACATTAAAACAAGTTTCTTCATAAACAACACAATGCATCAGATATGTAATCTCATTTTCATAGATATTTTCTGACATGACTTTTGCATGTGATTCCACATATTCAGAGAAGATCTGCGAATACTGTATGCTGTATAACATTCTGAATGGTTATTTCCTTGTAAAGCATTCTGAACACTTACATCCTCTCCCCATGACAAATGCGTTCTGATGGAAAAGAAAAAGACGTAGGGGATGTCAGAAATGATAAGCTGCTACAACGAAAAAAGCATACAACGCCCATGAAACCAAATACGGTATGACTCAGATGAGCAAGGAGGGAGATGAAGATAATTTAAATAAAGGACCAGGAGGAGAAAGCCTGGAACATTACGAGGGCTGTTTGGAGGAGGCGCTTTCGGGAATGTCAGGGCCGGCAGTCTGCCATGGTCAGGGTGGTGCGCGTTAGAGTGATGGTAGGTGTGGAGGCTGCAGTGGCTGCTGGCCCAGGAATCCCAGGTAAGTTGCCTGTCGCTCCTCTGAATTTTCACTGCCCATATGAAGTGATGATGGGAAATAAGAAAAACAAACAAAGAACCAAAAAAGAGGAAAAATAACTGAATTGCACAAATAAGAAGTGTAACAAAAATGAAAGCTTCTTGAAAAAAAAAATCTACTGTCTACTGCCTTTGCCCTTTTCTCAGTGGTCAGCAAAACAGATGATTAAAATCAGGATGGAAACTTTCATCTTCCCAAGAATAATGCATGTTTTTTCCCCAGCCCATTTCCCCCCTCTTTTAAAGATGCCTCTTGAATCAATTTCTAATCTCCCCCCAGTGCCTCACAGCAGAGATTAAAACCATTTTTTAAAACTTAAAAGTCAACCCCATAATGATTTATGGCACATGATTAGTAATTGAAGATTTGCAAATCTTGGCTAGTTAGTAGCATTTGTTTTTCGAGAGAAAAAAAGAAGAAACAATAAATCTCATAGGCTCATGATTCAAGTGGTTTACTGGCCACACATCACAGTTTACTGCTCTGACTTAATTGCTCTATGATCCATCACTTGGACTTGGACTTAATTTTTCTCAACATTAAATCACTCTAATCATCTATCAATACCAGAATCTTATCTGTATCCTAATAAGGAGAAGATAAAAGTCTCAACATAATACTTTTTTTTTGTATTTTTGAAAGAAGGTACTTACATTTGAAAGCAATAATCAATTCTTAAAATATTTCACATTTTCTTATATTTCCTTAAGATGCTACAAAATTTTAATAAAGTTTATTTTTAAATGTTGGCATCCTTTTTATTTTTTAAAAAATGTATACTGTATTTCCATTCTAATTCCAGTATTGTTTCAATTTGATTTTCTACTCAGTGTTCTAAAGTATGACCAATATTAAGTTTGTTACTATGTCTGATATGAAAATTTTCATTTAGGCTGTTTCAATGGGTTATAACAGCGGTTCTCAACTTGTGGGTCGCGACCCCTTTGGAAGACCATCGGAAAACACATATATATAATTACATATTGTTTTTGTGATTAATCACTATGCTTTAATTATGTTCAATTTGTAACAATGAAAATACATCCTGCATATCAGATATTTACATTACGATTCATAACAGTAGCAAAATTACAGTTATGAAGTAGCAGCAAAAATAATTTTATGGTTAGGGGTCACCACAACATGAGGAATTGTATTAAAGGGTCGCGGCATTAGGAAGGTTGAGAACCACTGGGTTACAATGACCAAGAGATGCAGATGTGACCGCTATTAATCTCTCCAGCTTCATACCCTATCATTCCACTCATCATTGATTGTTCCACCAACAATGGTCTTAGGTTTGTTGGTAATACAAGCCAGGCTCCTTCCTACCTCAGGGCATTTGCAGTTCCTATTCTTCCTGCCTCTAATATCCTCCCAGTTGTTTGCATGGCTGGCTCCTTCTCATCATTCAGATCTCAGCTCAGCTGCTACCTCCTCAGAGTTGTGGCTGACTTCTGTGACGGAAGTAGCTGCCTTCTCCCACACTATCCTATTACTGTTTTATGTTCTTCATAGCACTTATTACTGTTTCATTTATTTAATGTATTTTCAGTGTTTGTCCCTTTATACTAGAAATCCATAGAATAGGAATCTACTTTGCTGTCTTCCTTACTAGATGTACTGTAGCAACTTTAACCATGCCTAGTACATAATGACTGACGAATGAATGAATGAATAACTGAATACATGATGAATAGGAATATCAGGGAGAGTGTCCATGTCTGCATTGCTGCAACATTTTCCTTGTGATAAAGTGTTGCAAGGCAAGTCCCTAATGGATTCTCCTTCACCGTCCTTATTCTACGTTGTGGTGTAGAACACCATGTTTTATAGCAACGTGCAATCATTGCTGGGTCAGGCTAATCTACACCCACAGCCATCGATTTTACTCTTTACAAAATATTGCCTGTGTTTCCAATGAAGTATAGTGAGTGGACTTCAGAATTCTAAACTGAATTTTTGATCCGGTTCTTTATGGAATGCTTTGAAAGTAACTGGGAACTTTTGGGGCTGTCGTATATTAGGCAAGTATTTCAGGAGTTTAAAAAGAAAATGTTAACATTTTTTTAAAACACTGTCTAAGTCTATATAACGGCTTGTCTCATAGAGGAGAGCACCGGGATAGGTTAGACCAGTGATGGTGAACCTTTTGAGCTCGGCGTGTCAGCATTTTGAAAAACCCTAACTTAACTCTGGTGCCGTGTCACATATAGAAATTTTTTTATATTTGCAATCATAGTAAAACAAAGACTTATATTTTTGATATTTATTTTATATATTTAAATGCCATTTAACAAAGAAAAATCAACCAAAAAAATGAGTTCACGTGTCACCTCTGACACGCGTGTCATAGGTTCGCCATCACTGGGTTAGACTTTGTTACTATAGAAAGCTAAAATGTTACATTTTTATCAAACTCTTTCATTTTGCAAAAAAACATTCACACACGTTTTCCCATTTAATGGTCCCAATAATGACAGAAAACTTTCACTGAATACTTGTTATATACCAGACACTGGCTACGTGCTTCCCATTGATTATCTCAGACAGTGTTTGCAATAGAATCGTGAGGTAGGTATTATTCTCACATCCATTTTACAGAAGAAGAAACTGAGGTATAGGAAAGTTGGATAACTTGCTTAAGGTCCCAAGTGGTGGAGCCATAATTAAAACTCTGGAAGTCCGACTCGAGAGTCCCTTCCCTCAGCCACCACACTACACTGCCCCTGCCTTTGTTACAGATAAATAAATAGTGAAAATACAATGCTGTTCCCATCATTCCATGGTGACATCATTGCTGAAGTCTTAAGAGGTATCTGCCTTGGAGTTGTCTTCCTCTCTAATCGCACCCTCTTGCCCTGTCTGGGACGTCTGAGGGTACAGGCAACAGCAACTTTGGGGTGGTTCCTGGAGCTCGCCGATGCACATCCTCTTGGCACAGAATATATCAAACCTAGCAATTCCGCTTACATTTACCCCCTAAAGTCTCAGTTTCCTTCAATTATGATTAAGGATCCCAAAGGTCCTCTTGGGGTACAATTTCTAACCTCATTGAAAAGTCATTCTTGCTGGCTTATTTACTAGCAAAAGGCACAGTCAATCTCTGATTGCTAGTTGATGTGCCCATTTCTATGTTTCATAAAAACACTGTGGTGAATGCTTTGTTGATAAGCAAAATTTGGAAAATGTTGTATTTCCCTCCACCTGGGATGAGAGACATGCTCATGTTCAGGCATCAGAGATCTTGAAAAAATAACCAGAATTTTCTTGTGGAAAAAGTGTAAAACTATGTAAGACAATGCTACTAATTACAAAAAGAGAAGTTTGAGGATTATGAACACCATTTTGGGAGGAGGGGTATTTTTCCTCCTTCATAACTGTGATCTAATTATGCTTAGGAGCCTATATTTATTTCCTTTTGGAAATGCAAGTCTGATTTTAATGTAAAATGTAGGGAGCTGCTTCTATGCTCGATAAGGAAGATGGTGAGCAATTGTCGGCAAAAGTGGATGATATGGTCACAAACTAGAATTACGTAAATTACCAGTTCCCTGAAAAATCATAAATGACATCATGTTCTCTACAGTGAAGAAAAAGAATTTGTTCTTGGTCTCCATACATTTTAGTGTATACATTCATGTTCTCAAATTGTCTTGGCAGGTAAACATATTATTTCCCACACTGGAAACAATTTGAACTATTTATGATTTGTATACAGGGCAAATAAAAAGGAGAAAAATGAGGTTGCTAAGGACAATGACATTTTTAAAGAGTCTGTTAAACATTTCTGGTTCACTGAAACCAGAATTTACCAAGCAAAATCTCACGCTGAAAAAGCGCTACATAGTGTGCGCTCTCCTCCCTACTGTGCTCCAAATCCATGACGACTGCAGATTAGTTTAGGAGAAACTTACAGTCCTAGAAATCTCTCCTCTCAGCCAGTTGCAGGCAGGAAAGGCCCGAGGGGCCTCCTGACAGGAGCGGCCTGCATCCTCTGAGCTCCTCATCGTTGCCACTCACATGAGGCAGAGTTTCTTCATAACCTGCCTGTACGGCATCGTCTCTCCACTCCAATGTGTAAAATTAAAATCTGATAAAGGTAATGCTGTACTAGAGATTTTCATTAGCTCCAGGGCTGCCTAAGCTCCATTTAATTAAAAGAGGTTGCATCCAGCTGACTCATTCAGTATGAAAATTAACTGGTCCCTCTCTTTTTTTCAAATTGCAGAAAAGTGCAGTGTGTTTTAGGAGGTGGGAGACACGTAACGCAAATGACCGCCTCATAAGCAAAATTACAATTACAGAGAAAACTGTTCTCTTTCTCTACACACACAGCAGTGCCTTCTTCACCTCCAGGGCATCTTGGAGGCTTCCAGGATTTGATTTCAGGAATAAAAAGGAGGGCACTTGGCTTAAGGAAAAGGAGGGAGGAGGAACTGGAATAAAGGCCCCACTGGGGAGTCTTTCTTCATTTGATTTTGGGCTCAAAGTACTTTTTCTTGCACCAGGTTTTGTTTAAAGAAGCCCAGGTGAAGGGTATATACAGGGAGGGCAAAAGTAGGTTAACAGTTGTGAGTATGTGAAACACAGAGTTTATTCTACTATTATTATTTATTAACTAGAAGCCCGGTGCACAAAAATTCATGCACTCGGGGTCAGGGGAGGAGGGTCCCTCAGCCTGGCCTGCGCCCTCTTGCAGTCCGGGACCCCTAGGGGGATGTCAGACTGATGGCTTAGGCCCGCTCCCCAGGGGATCGGGCCTAAGCTGGCAGTCAGACATCCCTCTGGCAGCCCAGGAGCCCTCGGGGGATGCCCGACTAACGGCTTAGTTGGATATCCTTAGCACTGCCATGGAGGCCTCTCCCACCACCGCCGCTGCACTGGCCAGCCATGAGCCGGTTTCTGGCTGAGCGCCGCTCCCCCTGTGGAAGCACACTGACCACAAGGGGGCAGCTCCTGCATTGAGCATCTGCCCCCTGGTGGTCAGTGTGCATCATAGCGACCGGTCATTCCACCTTTAGAGTCAATTTGCATAATATCCTTTTATTATATAGGATGATTGTATTATTTTCCATATGAACAACTGTAAACCTACGTTTGCCCACCCTATAAATACTCAGCAAACTGTGATTTGTGGGATGGTAACACTGTAGATTCCCTCAGCTGACACTTGCTATTGAATAGGTGTACTCAAGTATTAGGATTCTCTCAGGGAAGATATTTGGTCAGAAAGGTTGTTCTCCATTTTAAGAAATACACTCCTCTGGCAAACAGACAAAATATAGAGAAAGTCAACTCTTCACACAACTATTCCCCAATCCCAAATATTTGAAGGGTCTGCTATTAATACCCATTTTATAACTATTTACAAAATGAAAGTTTTACTATTTACCTTCATTGTCCTTCAAATAGAGTGGAAATTTAATATAACAGGTTATCAAATAACTTCCCTTCTCTCCACACTCAATGTACATCCAAGGGTTTTGTTTTGTTTTTAAATATCAAATATTACTAGCCTGAAAATTCTTCAAAACATTCTCAAACAAGGTTTCTTTGCTCAATTTGGGGCTTTTAAGTGAATGACATGCGTCTTAGCGAAAGAGATTTGGAGGATAAAGACCAGCAAACAAAGATAACCTGCTGTTTTGAAAAGAAATGACTAAGGCAGAATTAAACCCAGGATCTTTCTAGCTCTGCTGGAAGGAGCAGCAACTGCACAGAGAAAGCAGAGACTTATCCTGAGGGCCTCACCGTGGTCAGGTCCCTTCAGCGCCAGGCGGGTCTGGTGGTGGGGAAGGATCTCCAGCTTGACCTGGTCGGTGGTGTTGGCCAGGAACTGGGTCGCCTCAGCTAGCGTGCAGTACTCCATGCTGGTGCCGTCGATGGACAGGATGTGATCGCCCACGTGCAGCGCTCCACACCTGCGGGAGGGGAAAGGCTCAGTGCACTTCCTCTTTGGAATGTGGCTTTCATGTCCTTCAAAGTTAAAATTTCCCAGTTTCCATTTACACCCCCTCTCCCCCCAGAAAATACTGTAGTGTTATAGGAAACACCCTGGCCAATGTTAAGAACATAGGAATAGGAATGTAAAACCTTGTGGCAAATACAGAAAAACTCAAGGAAGTGTTTTCCTCTTGTCCTTCGAAAACCAGCAAACAATTATTTGGGGGCAAAGGTGCCAAATGTTGAGGGGAAACGAGCAGGGGGACAGGGAAGGATGGGCAATGTGTTTCCCGTGCCTCTTTCTGTGATGTTTCCTCTCAGGTTTTTATGTTTATAAATATGATTGGTAAATATTCAGAATGTCAAGATGTGACTCACGGAGTTTGAACAGGGACATTGACAACTATTTTATGTGTGAAGGGGAGTAACTTGGGGAAGTTCAGCTAACGCTTCCTCACAATCTTTTCACACAGGCCCCCAGATCGCCAGTTCTGTATTCTTGTGTTTTGGTTTGTTATTCTGGAGTTAAACACTTATGAGTACAAAAGCTCTCGAAGATGGTGGGAATTATGCATGAGGCACTAAACCAGTGATGGCGAACCTATGAGACGCGTGTCAGAGGTGACACTCGAACTCATTTTTTTGGTTGATTTTT